TAACAATCTGTCCATCAGACGCTATCTGGTAGAATAAATAAACCACAGCTTTTAGGAACCTACTCTCCATATTAATCCAGTTTTGACCACCACATTATAAAAAAAAAGATGCTGAGACTCTGGAAAGAGTGCAGAGAACAGCAACAAAGATGATTAGGCGGCTGGAAGACTAAAACATATGAAGAACGGTTGCTGGCATTGGGTATGTCTAGTCTAATGAAATGAAGGACGAGGGACGGACATGATAGCAGTGTTCCAATATTTGGGGGGCTGCCACAAAGAAAAGGGAGTCAACCAACTCTCCAAGGCACCTGAAGGCAGGACAAGAAGCAACAGATGGAAACTAAACAAACAGAGAATCAACTTAGAACTAAGGAAAATTTTCCTGACAAAACAATTAATCAGTGGAAGGAAGGACTTGTCTCCAGAAGTTGTGGATGCTCCATCTTTTTTTTTTTTTTTTTTTAAAGCATTCCTAATATCAGGAGCTCTCCAAGGTCCTGGCTGTACTTAATTTACTTGGATCTCAAATGCCAGATATTCATAACCCGATCGAAACAGCAAACCCATAGTTAGGGTATCTGGCAAAATTACTATTCTGAATTCCCCTTGATAACTATAAAGATTCAGACTCCCTCCCTCCCTTCCTTCTCTTCCTTCCCTCTTTCTTTCTTTCTTTCTTTCTTTCTTTCTTTCTTTCTTTCTTTCTTTCTTTCTTTCTTTCTTTCTTTCTTCCTTCCTTCCTTCCTTCTTTCCTTTTTTCTTTTCTCTTTTCTTTTCTCATCTATTTGCTTTGTTTTTCTTAAAAGTTGCCTTCCCCATAACCTGCTTTCTCTAATGTGCAGGATAAGGTCATTAAATTTACCAGTATTTAACTTCCAGACTAGGAAGGGAAGGGAGGAAGAATGAAACAAAACTCTATTATCTCATCTAGCTGATCCCTTGATAGCTTGCTAAAAGTAAAATACTATAACCTACAGCCTGGCCTTTGACAAGTGCTAATTATTTCCCCTCAAAGCACATTTTTCTCATGTAATTCCAAAGTACACAGTAGGCTGATCTCTAAAACTCATGAGGGCTCCTCCAAAGAGGCACTGGGTGTTTTATAACTTTCACCACTGTGTGTGTGTGTGTGTGTGTTAGCACTGGAGCTTACCAACATCTCTCCAGAATTACAGGGGAATTGGGTATGATTAGTCTAGTGAAAAGTAGGACTAGGGGTGACGTGATAGCAGTGTTCTAATATTTGACAGGCGGCCACAAAGTAGAGGGGGATCAAGCTATTCTCCAAAGCACCAGAAAGCAGGATAAGAAACAATGGATGGAAACGAATCAAGGAGAGGAGCAACCTAGAACTAAGGACACATTTCCTGACAGTGAGAACAACAACAATAATAAACCAGTAATAAACCAATAAACTTGTCTTCAGAAGTTCTGGGTGCTCCAACACTGGAGGCTTTTAAAGAGACTAGACAGTCATTTGTCTGAAATGGTGTAGAGTTTCCTGCCTATAGAAGAGGAGACTAGACTAGAAGACCTCCAAAGTCCCTTCTAACTCTGTTATTATGTTATAAATCACAACAGATTATTTACTAGGAGAATACTACGAATGGCAGCTCTTTAGGACAGTTCTTCCAGAGACAAAAACCTTGAATAAAGCCAAGGGGAGGAGGAACCTATTGCAGTTATTTAATACTCTGGAGGCACCGACTTTTGAAGGCTTTCAAGGTAGCAGCTCTTGAAATGTTCTTTTAAGTGTTTAAGTTTAATGAGGCCCTGTGCTTTGTCTGCTGTTTTTTCCCTCCTTCTTCAACCTTTTCCTTCCTCTCTTCTCCACCCTGATGCCTGCAAAATACTTAACATTTTTTGTCCTAGAGGCTCAATTATGCCACTTGGTTCCAGCTTGGGAATAAATTGATAGCTTTAGGGAGAAAAAAAAAAACCCAACAACTATTGAAACTACAATCGTTCAAAGACGGTTGTCATTCCCCTCCATTCAAAGAAAATCCATATTTATTGCATATTTGCTCTACTAAACTGATCTATTCAATAGGTTAACCTTTGCTAGGTTCCTAGTTTTTTTTTTTTCCTCTTTGTTTTTCAAGACACGCACTCTCACAGTTTATAAATATTTAGCTGCGTGTCTCAATTCCTACCTGGGCAAGCTCTAAATGTCTGAACGTTGCCTCCCAAGTACAGGTAGTTCTTGCGACTACTTGAGCCCAGAATTTATGCTGTTAAGTGAGACATTTGTTAAGTGACCCGGTTGCTAAGTGAATCTGGCTTCCCCAATGACTTTGCTTGTCAGAAGATCACAAAAAGTCATCATATAACCCTGGGACCACAGCAACGGTCGTAAGTACGAGTCAGTTGCCAAGTGTCTGAATTTTGATCAACGATCATGGGGAGGCTACAAAGGTGGTCACTGTGAAAAATGCTCACAGGTCAGTTTTTTCAGTCTGTCAGTGTCCTTACCAACCCCTGGTTCCCACAGAAGACTAGTGGTCGACGTCAAGGTGGCTGGAAAACGGAACGGTCTGACCAGCGTTTATTTACAGCAAAACAAAGTCAGCGCTGGGAGTGATCTTTTCCCAGTGCCTTACATGCAGTCCGTCCCCTCAGCTCCACCCCCCCATCCAGCTAGCCAGCATCCGGTGAGTAACTTGAAAAGCAGCAACACAGGCCCCTGGCTCTCCTCTCCGGTCTGCTGTTCAATCCTTGCTGCCGGGTGTTGTTCCTGCTCCGCTCAGCTGTTTGGCGGTTTCGTAGGGCAGATAGGATCGTCTCCAGCTTCTCCCCGGTGTCATCCCTGCCACCAGCCTCTGCCGGGGTTTCCTGTGCTGAACAGTTTTGTCTGGCGGCTGACTGAGGGTCCTCCTAAACCAGTGGTTCTCAACCTGTGGGTCGCGACCCCATTTGGGGTCGAACGACCATTTCACGGGGGTCGCCAAACAACGCAGTCCGCCATTTTTTCCCCCTTTTCCTTAGCTGTGCTACTCCCTTTTATTCTATCGGCTTTTGAAAGCCAATAGAATAGACTCTCTTGAATAGAGTCTAATTCTATTGGCTTTCAAAAGCCAATAGGAATTGTCCAGGGCTGTCTCTGCCCTGCTGAGCCTGCCAAAAGCCCCAGTCTGCAAACGGTGCTGCAAGGGGAACAGTCTGCAGAGCTTCCCTCCCTGTTGAGCAACTAAAAAGTAAGTAAAAGAGGGCCGGGGGTGGGAGATGGGAGGCCGGCGGGTGCAGGGAGGGTTGCTGGCGCGTGTGGGGCCCGGCAGGTGCCTTACCTGCCTTGGGCTGGGCCAGCTGGTGGCCCAGCCGGTGGTCGCCCTGTGCCGCCGCTGCCACGGCCGCCCGGGAGTGTCCAGGCCTGCCTGCCGCCATCCCTTGCTGGCTATGCCTCAGCCGGCACAGGGGGCGGTACCGCGCATGCGCGCCGTGCCGCGCATGCGCGCCGCGTGCTTATGACCAGGGTCGCCGGTATAAAAAGGTTGAGAACCACTGTCCTAAACGTTCGGCGTTGTTACCGTCAGCTGTTCGGCATCGTCGCTGGCTTCCTGGCTTCCCCAGGTATCGTTGTCTCCCTCCTCCCTCCCGTTAATGTTGAACCCGCGGGGCTTGACACAGTAACTTTGAATGGTCACTAAATGAACTGTTGTAAAGTGGAGGACCGCCTGTATTCCCCAGGCAGCACAGCCAGTCGAGAAGATTACTTCTGTCTAAAGACAGGTAAATCGTTTTTCTATCCCAAAGGTGCTTTTCAAAAGTCAACTGGACTTTCTGGAGTTTTTTTTTTTCCTTCTTTTTCCTCGAAAACGTTTCGCTTCTCATCCAAGAAGCTCCTTCGGTTTTGAGACAACTGGAATTGCCGCAAGAATATCGTCTTTCCTGTGTTTGTGTATACATGCTGGGTCTGTGTCGGTGGGCCAGTTTACATAATTGCTACCGAGATGCAGGTAGATCCATCATGCCGAAATGATGTGTCATAACTGATAGCTTCAATTAATTCTTGAAGGATCCGGAGACAATTGAACATTATGCACGGCGCTAAAATGGGCCGTGGGGCCCCGGACAGATCTTGCTAAAGCTGAATGTTTTGGTATATTACAGATTGTGAAGACTTTTGCCCATAAGAGATGTTAGCGATAGGATTTGGGTTAATTCTACTTCTGCTTGCTTCTATGCAAAGCTTGGAGATGGAAAGTGACTGTCTGATATGTACTTGTGTTGTTGCAAACAACGGCACCCGAGGGAGCCCAGGGACAACCCAAACACTACTCAAACGACAAGGAAAGGTGCACAAAGAGGACCTTTGTAGGTAACTCCTTAGCGAGCTGTTTTTCTCCCATCCCATCATGGGATTCCAGGTGTGTCTCTTAAGCTGAGTCCTTTAACAGAAATTATCAAGTGTCCTGGTGGCTTATTTCATTCAAATCACTAAAACAAATGAGGTTAACGTGTAAATACTTGAATAGTTAATTCAGCATTGGGGCTTCTCATATACTACTTATTATTGGGCCATTGATAAGTAAGTAAAGTAAGTAAGTAAGTAGGGAAAGACGGAGGGAGGGAGGGAGGGAGACAGGCAGGCAAGAAGGAAGGAAGGAAGGAAGGAAGGAAGGAAGGAAGGAAGGAAGGAAGGAAGGAAGGAAGGAAGGAAAAGAGAGAGAGAGAGGGAGGGAGGGAGGGAGGAAGGAAGGTAGGTAGGTAGGTAAGTCATTAAAGTAAGATGCAATTGGAGGATAAAACAACCCAGGACTATTCAAATGAAAATTAAACAGATCTCTTTGTTAGTTCCCTTTTTAGATTCTAAAGTGGGATGTTCTCAAAACTGAGAAAATCTAGAAAATATATATATGAACACTTTAATTATTAAAGAAACACAGTACAGAAGCTGCTGGGAAGGGCCTTACTTTTTCTTCCATGCCATTTTCATGTCTTTTAAAAAATAATACTAATAATGGACCTCCTGTGCTTCTCCCTTAATACCCCTTTCTCACCTCAGGAGCCATTCCTGACGCAGCCCTTGACGCTGGATCAGGAGGGGGAGAAGACAGCTGATTTTTTCATTTCTTTGTTCCTCCATCTGTTCTTCTTCTCCTCCTCGTAATTCACAGAGCAGTAGACTTGTCTGGGGGGGGGGGAGGAGAGGAGGAATTGGGGAGGGGTTGGCAGCAGAGAAAAACACGCCATAAACGTTATAAAACAAATAAATAAGAAACAAAGCATAAAATTAATTAAACAGACCATAAGCAAATAGGGATAGTAAATCAATGCCCCTTTTTTATTACAGTTCTATGGCCTGGAAATCAATACAGTAAATGACAGGTCAAAAACGAGACCACCTCAGTTTGGTATTTAATCAAAGTACATGAAAATCTTAAGGTGAAAATCTTAAAGCATCATCAAGTTGGTATTGGGAATCCGGATTTCATTTTCATCAGGGGCAGTTATTTGGTTTTTCTGATAAATACAAAAAAACAAAACAAAAAAAAAAACTAACCCAACAGATGGAATAGTTGTAATGAATTTTCCTACAGATACATCTTCAGTCTCACACTATTCTTTCTCATATACTACTTATTAGTGGGGAAAGGGACGGACAGAGAGAGGGAGGGAGGAAGGAAACAATGAAAAAGGGAGGGAGGGAGGAAATAAAGTAAAAGGAAGGAAGGAAATAGAGAGGAAGGAAGGAGTGAAAAAAGGAGGGATGGAGGAAGAAAATAAATTAAAAGGAAGGAAGGAGAAGGAAGGAAGGAACTAGAGTAAAAGGAAGGAAGAAAACAGAGGAAGGAAGGAAGGAAGGAAGGAAGAAAGAAAGGTAGGAGTAAAAAAGGGAGGGAGGAAATAAAGTAAAGGAAGGGAGAAGGAAGGAAGGTACTAGGAAGGAAGGAAGGAAGGTAGGAATAAAAAAGGGAGGGAGGAAATAAAGTAAAGGAAGGAAGAAGGAAGGAACTAGGAAGGAAGGAAGGAAGGAAGGAAGGAAGGAAGGAAGGAAGGAAGGAAGGAAGGAAGGAAGGAAGGAAGGAAGAAAGATAGATCAAGGTAAGATGCAATGAGAGGATAAACCTTTTCTAGCATAAGGTTTATAACATTAACTATTCCGCCCAACCGTACTAATGCGGAGAAAGTGCAAATGTATAAATGAGGTGTTGCTTACATTGCAAATGTGCTTTACATGATTAAGTAAACCATGACTTAAGTGTGATGAGGTCAGAACTGCAACCTAAGTGAATACAAAATAACAGAGCTTCCAACCGCTCAATTCTCATTCCAAACCTGGCTTAGCCAAAAGGTTAGAAGGTGATAAAAAAATGTCCCCGACAGTGTGAGGCCAAGAGTTCAAGAAATGTGGTCAAAGATATTATCAACCTGGAAAGCCATTTCCTCAAACCTACACTGGGTTGTTGTTTCTTTTAAAAAAAAATTCTTTATTTTATAAAGAAGAACTGATCAATCAAAAGCTTGAGTTGTACGCTCCATCTCTCTAAATAAATATATAATGGTTATTCGGGTTTTCTACATACAAACACCCGCGAAAACCTCAGAAAACATATATATATATATATTCGGAAGATGTTCTTTTGAACAAGAGCCTTCTTATCAAAGAAAGGTCAACTCTGGGATTTTTCATTCATTTAATGATCTTTGATGACAGAGGATTGTCCACAGAAACTCTGTTTCACCCAATGTTGAGTGAAGCCTTCAGCTTGGGTCCAGGATCTGCCTCTTTTCCTTACCAAGGCATGTCTAGGACCTGAGGTCACTTGAACAAACAAACAAGGCATGTAGGTCTGTTTTATCTCATCGGTCACTCAATGGAGAAATTTTTGGGAGGCTGCTAATGTTTAGGATATGTTGAAGGCTATCTTCCTCCACTCCCTCCCCTGCTGAAAACACATCCTGAATGGGCCCAGCGAGAAAGATAACAAACCACAACATCAATAACTCTGTTCCACAAAGAGATTCTAGACTGTTGGCACGGCTGCCCAGGCTTGTGGACCTTCCCTTAAAGTGCTGCAGTGATTTAGGAATTTTTCCCCGCTCCTGGAACCGAACTGACAAAAGGCTGTTCTGCTGTGCTTTTAGCACTTAATTTTGTCAACAAATAAGGTTTTCATCGGGAGATCTACTGTACTTCCCAGCTTTTCCAAAGAGATTAACAAGGATCAGTTCTTAAGCTCTTGCTAAGCCCTTCTCACTTTAAGGGAAAGAGGCTGAGGACCAAAATAAATAGCCAAGGATGGAGGGAACTTGCAGCAAAGTCTCCCTCTTTCAACTCCTGCTAATTATCCAATTTATAATAGATTTTTGGGTTGTATTGGTAAGCGTGGGAACAGGGAACTCCTTGACAAGACTTGGAGCCAGAAAAAAATCAGGAATGAATATGGAATCCAAGCAATATAAACACTGGGTAGACTTCACTCACATTGCAGTTCTCAACTTATAACCAAGTGCTGTTCCAGGTTACAACAGCACTGAAAATCTGACTTACGACCGGTCCTCAAATGTATAACTACTTCAGCATCCCCACGGTTAAGTAATCAAAGTTTGGGCGCTTGTCAATGGGAATGTATTTATGATGGCTGAAGCATCCTGGGGTCTTGTTGTCTGCTGGATTCCAACAAGCAAAGTCAATGGGGCACGCTAGCTTCACTTAACAACCATGTGACTCATTGAACTACTGCAGTGATTTGCTTAACAATTGCAGCAAAAAGGGTTGTAAAATCAGGATGGATCCCTTAACAGCTGCTTTGCTTAGCAATAGCACTTAGATTTATATACCACTTCACAGTGTTTTACAGCCATCCCTAAGCGGTTTACAGAATCAGCCTGTTGCCCCCAGAATCTGGGCCCTCATTTTACCTCAGAAGGATGGAAAGCTGAGTCAACCTTGAGCCAGTCAAGATTGAAGGGCACGGAATGGAAATTCTGGTTTTAAGATATCCCACCTGTCCTTTGGACCCTACTTTTTTATATTATTATTGCACCAGGCTCAACATCAACAATTTCATTCCACAACTGCCATGGAAATTTGGCTTTTTTTTAAAAAAGTTTTCTTTCCTTGCCCCTCAGGGGCTGCTAAAAAATGGCTGCCTGCTTGTGGACCGAAGGGAAAGGATGAAGGAGAGAAGCGAGGGAGGAGGAAAAGGGAGGGAAGGCCGTTGTGGTTTATGGAAGCCAGCTGTTGCAACACGGGTGCCAGCAACATCTGATAGACGCTTCTTTCTGCCTGCCTTCACTTCCCCACTGTTAGCCCAGCGCAGGTATAACTAACATGTCAGACTTCAGTGCTTCGAAGAGCACTCAGCGGATTTGCTGAGATGACGAATAGCCGAAGACGGGGCCAACCATATGCAACACAGAACGCATCAAGTAATTCATACTTCGGTGTACAATCGTCCCGGCCCCTGTTGTTCTAAGGAACGGGAAAGAGCTAGGGTAGCACAGACCCGGTGTCTTGCTCTTGACAGCCCATTAAGAGATCTCCAAACACCTACTCGTGTTTCTCTGAAAATAAGACCGGGTCTATATTAATTTTTGCTCCAAAAGACGCACTATGCTTATTTTACGGTTAGGGCTTATATTCGGAGAAATATGATAGTACATTCATCCATCTGGCTGACGATCTTAAGAGGGGCTTATTTTGGGGGTAGGGCTTAGAGTATGAGAGCCCTGAAAAATCATGCTAGGGCAAGGGTCCCCAACCCCTGGTCCGTGGACTGGTACTGGGCCATAGCACGCCATCAACCGGTCTGCACACACAAGCAAAGCCCCATCCGCGGGGTGCAGACAGTATAGAAAACCACGCACTCTCCGGTCCGTGGAAAAACCTTTTTCCACGGAACCGGTCCCTGGTGCCCAAAAGGTTGAGGGCCTCTGTGCTAGGGCTTATTTTCCAGTTGGGTCTTATTTTCGTGGAAACACGGTACTTGAAAACATACCACTGGCTTCTCAAGAGCAGCCCAATAAAACAGAAGCCACGGCTTTCCCACGACGCTTAAATCCTTCACCTACAGTCCATTAACCACTGCTGCTAGGAAGAAAAGGGGGGAAAAAAGCAGCTTTCTTACGATAGGAAATGGGATGTGACTTTTCTAGCCTCTCCCTATATAACCAAAGCCTTGTTTTGACCTTTGCAGATTTACAAAATTGTTGCTTTCGGTCCCTGCCCTCACAACCCTTGTTCTTCTTCTCCTCGACCTGCAATTTTCCAAGTTCCTTGCTGCGCTGAGCTTTGTGGATGACTTTAAAACTCAGCATAATCTACCTCAGCTAGCTCGGCCTACGCAGTCAATACAAAGACGAGAGAGAGACTCAGGGGAACTCTGGGGTGAGAGATTATTATTAAGCATTTTTTCCTCCCTTTCTGGAGTCGGAGAAATCCCTGCAAAGGCAACAAAGCCTGCTTTTAAAATACCCAGGAAGCAGACAAAAATAAAAGGAAGGACAGGGATGGAATGAAAAATAGGAAGGTCAATATTTCCATCCGGCAGTCAAGGGAATATATGGCTCAGCTTTGTTAGAGAAATAAGAAATACTTATTTTAAGGGTGGTTTTCTCCTAGATTTATTCTCAGGATTGACAGTTGTTCGGCTGTCCTTGAGGGAAAATACTTTTCTAATCTCTCATTCCGGATCAGGTTCACATTAGGTGTGATTTAAAGCAAAGGAATAGAAATTCTGTACAGGAACGGAAGAAGGGTTAAAAAAAAAAAAGGCAGGATGGTAAGCTGACCAGGGGATTGAACCCTTTTCTACTAAACTTGCTTTCTCTATAAACTTGTCTATGTATTGAACTTGTCATAATGCTGACTCTCTCTCAACGGTTTACAGCCAATTAAGGTACCGTATATGCCGGCGTACAAGGCAACCCGGCGTATAAGACGACCCCGTCTTTGTCGCCGAGTCACATTCCTAGAACGTCGTCTTATACGCCGGAAACTACCAGTATTTCTGGCGTATAAGACGACTCGGCATATAAGACGACCCCCGTCTTTGGCGCTGATTTTAACGCTTGCGGAAGTCACCTTATACGCCGGCATTTACGGTACCTTTATGGCAGGGAATCCCAAATCCCATTTTCAAAAGGTGGGACCTGCCATTGCCAATGAACGATGACCCAACCAAA